CCCCCCCCCCTCTCCCCCCCAATTATGTGAAGTAAATTAATTTTTTTTGTGCCATTGAGCACTCCTTTTTTAACAACAATATTTGTTTGACTATGAAGAATTTTCGTAATACAATTTGTGGGAAAGCAAAGAGGCTAAGCTTCAACATGGACGGATCGTGCAATGGAAAAGCCTCAGAGGATCACAAATATAATGCCAACTTAAAGCTTCTAAAAGCACCCATCTCAAAATCCGAAATAAAGGTGAAAAGAACTTTCAGAGTAGCTAAATAATTAACAATTTTTATATTCCTGTGTATATCTAAAAGAAAAAATTTAAAATTTAAAATACCTAAAAGGTACACAACAAAGCACTAAATCGAAGAGGAACCGTCGAAGAAAGAGATTAAGCCAGTAAACATTTACTAACCTCCGATTGTTTCTTTCAATATCTCATCGGTATCAATATATTTATCACTGTGATCATCCTTTTCACTACGCATGTTGGAATTGTTACTGCAAAATAAAACACTTGATACAGCCAATAAAAGGGCATGAAACCAACATCAGCACAAGCCACCACAACCAAATCTAAATCGCGAATCATTTATTTTCAAAAATCCACCACCAAATTAAATATGGAATCCATCATGTATTTTAGAAAAATCTAAAATTATAGCGCTAATTCCCGTCTACTCCCAGTCACACACTCGGATTTAGCACACGACAGTCATGAAATTGCAAAACTAAACAGTATTCAGAGAATCAGAAAAAGCACCTAAAAAAACACCGAAAAAAAAAGTACAGACAACCCAAAATATTACGAAAGAAAAAAAAAAGAGAAAAGAGAAGAAGATCTGGAAAAAAGTCAAAAGCGGAACCCACATGTAGCTACACCCATCAAGAACAAAGAGAGCTTTAAGAGCAAGTGGAAATTTCCGAGAGAAAGAAACTCTTGAAAGAAAGGGAAACACCTACGATTGTTGTCTTTGAGAAAATATGTGGAAAGATCTTCAGTGTACACGTAGAAGTATAACTAAACAATACAAAGACACGTAAATGACATTGATAAGAGATGCGAAACGTCCAAAATACCCTCCACTTTATTTTAAATGACCAAAAACAGCCATGTCGAAACTCTAGCTCCTCTATATAACTAGGCGATGATGGCCTGTGCATTTAACTCTGCGTGTTAGCTAATTGTAATATAAATATAACTGGATACGAATTTTATTTGACTTGTATGAAACAAGTGGCTGCAGTCTTTGGTCTTCTTTGTGGTCCTTTTTCTTCACCAAGAACATCTGCAAACAAATAAATATGTTGTAAATTAGAAGGTTATCGCAAAACATCTCGATATATGGAAACAATATTTACTAAATGAGTAAAACTTGTAGTGGAACTCTTAAGAAATGAAGAAGACGGAAAAATGAATCAAAATGTGACCACAACATTACAACTTCATAAAACGTTGAGGTGAGACAATTAAGTATTGAACACATACCATATGCTATGAGATTGCAGAATAGAAAAAGGATGAAACTCAAATTAAATTCCACAAGCAATCTAGTAATTTATTTATAACCCTGCAGTTGATGCTTTCTATCATGAAATAAATTTAGATAAATACATTGTTCAATTTTTTTTTTGGATCGGTACATATATCTCGTCTCTTTGGGGACATCTGAATTCTGATATAAAAAAACACATATAGCTCAACTTTTACGTGAATTCTAAAAACTCATTGAGCTGAATAAATTATTGAAGTTAGGACTTAATGTTTGGATTACTTCATAAGAGAGGCAAATGCAAGACAACATATTCCTTTTCAAATACTCAATTTGAGGTTGTGTTGTAATTCTGTCATAGTCTTAATAAAATCCACGACATTTATTTTTGATAAATTTCAACACAACAACAGTGCTGAAATGTCTACACTATAATCCCCTCCATTCTTTTTCAGAATCAACCTGCAAGATATCTGAGAGTTGAGAATACCAAAAGAAAGATCACACATGCTAATACAAAAATATATGTTTCAGCAAGCAGACAACAATCAATTTTATGGTTTGCTGCAATACAAAGAATATCTAGGCAAAACTATGTATAATGCAGCCATGAAGTGAATAATTAAAAGAAGCCACAAAGATATATTGCCTGTGGATTTGTCCCAATTGCAATGATACGATTTACCCAGTACACGACATGTCTAATATTGCACAAGTGCCATTTTTTCTTCTTTTTCCCTCTTTCTGTATTGATAGTACTATAAATCTCCTTCATTGGTCAAATAGAAAAGAATAAAGAATCCAGCCAGCTCATCCTATCATTTCTTGATTCAGTTATAGAGAGAATGTAGTTTTGTGGTACCAATTTAAAGAAACCTATCCAATACTGCTTTGTATATTCTGTTACATAAATTACATCATCGTATAACAGGCTATTAAATCTTACTCCCGTTATCTCATCACTATTCATTATGATATGAAGCGCATCATAAAATGTGATGACCCAAACCTGTTTTCTTACCCATTATGTGCTTCCGAGGCCTTGAAAACCTCATTTAGAGTCGTTTTGATTTGCGTGCGCAGTCCGAACGCATAGCCGAAAAGCTTAAATATGAAATTCTATGAAAAATGTTAAGTCTTGACTTTAAAATGAATAAATTTGACTTCGGTCAATATTTTGGGTAAACGGACCCGGACCCGTGATTTGACGGTCCCGAAGAGTCCGTAGGAAAATATGGGACTTGGGCGTATGCCCAAAATCGGAATCCGAGGTCCCTAGCCCGAGAAATGAATTTTTAAGTGAAACTGTTTTTAGAAATTGTTTAAGGAAATTTGAAGTGAAAACTGATTAGAAAGCAATGGTATCGGGCTTGTATTTTGGTTCCGGCGCCCGGTACAGGTCTTATATATGACATGAGTCATTCCTGTGAAATTTGGTTAAAAACGGACGTCGTTTGACGTGATCCGGACCTTAATTGAGAAATTTTATTGATCTCGAGGTTTAATTCGACGCTCGTGATGTTATTTTGGTCATTTGAGTACATGAATATGTCCGTAGGATATTTTTGAGGTTGTGTGTATACTTGGATTGGAGTTTCGAGGGCTCAGATGAATTTCGAGTGGGCTCCGGAATGCCTTAGACTTAGAAAGTCAGATGTTGCAGGTTCAGGAAGTTGTAGTCTCTAAACCCTCTAGTGCGGTCCGCGAGAAATCGCGTGTGACCGCGGAGGGGCTAGCGCCGCCGCGGTCGCCTTTGTGCGGTCCG